ATGAATTGCCTTTATTCATCTTGAGTCAATAAATGGTAAGCTTAAATGAAAGAAGTTTTGTCGGATTGAATGATTATAATCCCAAAAATAACTAACTATATTACTACAACAGACAGCTAATTAAAACAAAAACTCGATGACAGATAACTGTCATTAGCTTAGGGAATGTGAATCATAGAAGTCACAAAAACCCTTATTGCTAATAAGGGGGACGCGTTCGAAATTGAAAAATGTAAATTCTGTGGAGGTAACCACAAAAAGAAACAGCACAACTTATGCTTGGAATGTTGTTCCTGCCCAACCCAGTTAGTTGAGAGTTTACTATAAAAAAAATTTTCAGTTGTCCGATACTGGAAAATTTATTACATTACAAAAAACAACAACAGGACACTTGATGTTTAGCAGTCACACAAAGTTTACTTTCATTTTGATTTAGAATGCCGAATTAGCTCCAACTTATTTGCCGGCCATTCTTGACTGATATATACAAAAAGGTGGCGTCAGATAAACATGGGGACTAAAATTAAATTGTATAGACAGATCACGGCACTGTTACAGCCAACGTTTTGTGATATCGCCAGATAAAAACCTGTATACGTATATATATATATATATATATATATCTTAGTATTTTCATTGTTCAGTAAGACCTTAATGTTGTTTGAGGCAGTATACACATCACCTCAAGAATCACTTGCTCACATGGTGCATTGTCAACACGCAAATATTCCATAAATCGAGTTGACAATTTGCAAATTAATTATCAATTTTCACAGTTTAAAGGGGTGTTTCATTTGGAAATCAAATCACAGTATGTGATCTATTTTCTACCATAAACAGTAATCGGGAACGCAAGAATAAATGCATAAAACTGTATACTACTGATTGATCGGAATAAGTAGTTTCACACCGCTCATATCAACCAGTAGTGCCTCTTAGCCAGACCTAGTTAATTTAAATACCGGACAACTGGAATCAAGCTAATAATCAGCAGCTTTGTTAGCTGAGTCAAACAGGGTGCACCGATGATGAGATCAGTCCCAAACAGGCGAAACGTGTGTCCGGTGTTTAGATTACCTACATCTGGCTAGAAAGCACTACTGCTTGATATGAGTAGTACACAACTACTCATCTCGACTAATCAGCAGTATATAGATTTTGGGGTAAATATATTTCTTTAAATGATGCTTCTCTATTTGAGTCTGAAAAAATAACTACATTTATAAAGGGGCCTATATGATTTAGACGAGGGACTAGACTTAAACACGTCAGCTAAATGGTTTGCTACATGACAGTAGTGAAATACAACAGATTAACAGAGAGTACGAGTCAACCACAGAAGTCATATCAGTAAATACGGTGGTTTCACACCATTTGTAAAGAAGCACCACTTTAATTCATGCAGCATAGTGATATGAAAACTTACAAACTAAGAAAATGTAACTACCTCAACCAGCAACAATTCACTGGTCAACATCAATATCCAGGATTTATACTATTGTATCATGTTTATTATATTAATTAGGCAAGGACAAACTGGTTAATAAACCTATAACGATCATAAGATGAATAACTAAACGAAAACTTGTAGTTATGACTTTCGCGTTAACTGGCATCGTAATGAGACATATAGAATTCCTATCTTTTCGCTGCTGTGTTTACCTTGAACAAAGCACAATGATTATATACATATATGTGTATATAAAAGAGCACTGCACTCAGTGCTGTAGTATTCACTTGCTTAAAAGAAAGCATCAGTTATAAAGATGTACAACAGTAACTTTAAATACAACGAAAACTGTGATCGAAAATAAATGAAAGCGTGTCCAAAGTAATAAAATGCAATTACTGAAGCGTTAAACACTACAACTCAAACATCAGTATGTTCATCTTAACTTTAATTCACTTTTAAATCATGTTATGATCTAATCTAGGGTGAAATATATATATATATATATAGTGGCTAAAATTCTCTATGATTTTCCACTTGATTTGACCATTTCATTAAATCAGAGTAAAACATAGACAATAGAAGAAATAAGAATTAAGCATGACTGGATCATTTTTATTTCACTGTTCATGTAGAGGAGTATTCACTTTGTAATAAAAAGGCACTCAACTGTCTACTACAAAGAAGCTGGCGCTAACGACAACTGTAATGAAGAAACTAAAATCTTATCACTTCATCTACCCCCTCCTTCACCATACTGATTTGCATGGATAAACAAGATTTCAGTACTGTAGACATTCACCTTCAAGTAGTAGGAAGTGATGCTGATGGCACTCAGCTAATCATAAATCTTAAGAATTCTGTATTATAATTAACTGACATTTCTTAGTTTTCTATAGTTTGGTTTGTAAGGGTTAGTTAGAAAATTAGTCTGATGCTCGCTAATGACTTGCTACTGGATGGAGTTTCCTTGAGTTCTAATGAGAAGTCGTGACCAGTAAGGTCCATCCAGATGTCACGTGTGAGGATGGATGTCCCACCTACGACAATGGTTGGGATCGCGCTAAATCACGAATTGGTAGAAGTTGAAATTCTTGAGCCATTGAATCGGGTCTCAGTGGCTGAATGGTATACGAGCTGACTGGCCTTGTAATCGGAAGGTCCTTGGCTCGAACCCCTGTGGGTGCGTACTGACGATGATTCCCAAATTAGGATGAAATAGCTGCCCAGTACTCCCTGCTGGTTTTCAATGGTTCTCTAACTGACATCAACTCGTGGTCAAACTCGTAATAATATTTGTTAGGTTTAATACGAAAAAAAATAATGTAAATACAACATTTAGACAATAAATAATCGATAAGAGATAATATTTTATACAATAACATGAAATATTCTAAATGTCGGTAGCTTCATTCAAATTGTGAAAATCCCATTCATAGAACCAACAAGAAGTAGATCATAATTTGGCCTTACTGTAGCGTGTGCTACTGACAGGTTTATAAGTAGTATATAGATGCGTAAGTATATATGAATAGGGCATTGAGAAGACAAATTTAGCGAGATGATATCATTTCGTAGTTTCTTTACAAACGCGTTACAACTAACATGGTTAACAATAATAAAATAAAGTTCACGACAATTACTCAGTTTGAATAAGGCATTAAGAAGACAAATTTCGCGAAATTTGTGCATCAAAGTAGAATACAACACAATATGTGCATTAAGAACATTTTTCCATGCACATAAAATAATAAACAAGCAAATAAAACCACAATCCATCTGGGTCCATCCACACTGGGTCGTATAAAGTGAAAACTCGTGAAACTGATATATATATATATATATATATATATATATATATATATATATATCAATTTGAAATGAATCTCCCAGATGGACTACAGCTGACCTTCTTTTTAACAGGCAGGGAAAATAACCAACTTTCACAACTTTTAACTTTCTACGACCCAGTGTGGATGGACCCAGATGGATATCAAATCAAGCCTGATTATCGGCACTAAATAACGAAGCACTGTGGATATCTGATGCTCTCCTTCTGTCAACAGATCATTATCATCGCTACAAATACATTTAACGGATATTACCAAAACGTAACCATCAACTACAGTAAAAAGTAAATACTGCAAGTGACTGAAACTCTGAAACAATAGCAGCGCCATAAACATTTAAAAGAATAAAACAATCACGAGATTTATCTCTAATACCCACTCTTACATTATATAGCAAAAGATGAAAGGGTTGGATAAAAACACTGTGTTATATATACATTTACACCTTGATTGGCATCTGCCCTCTGTTTGGGGATCAGAAAAACAATTAAGTGATATCTACTGAGCGTAGTACAGTACACTTCTGCACTCAAAAATATCAACACAATGCATGCAAGCGATAACCACACCCTGATTACTACATGCGCTACACTAAGCAGGATAAAAGATACGAACAATAGGGACAGCTTATATCAGATTTTCATTATCATACATCTCCCTTTCAAGATACAGTACATACATCAGGAAAGCAAAATAAAATGAAAGGGAACTATAAACCGAGTTTATATATATATATATATATATATATATATATATATACATATGAGATCAAGAGTGCCAGCAAGAATGATAAGCCAAAGAGACCAGGGAGGAGAAGGGTGATAGCAGTGCCAGACAGGTAAAAATAAGTCGTGATCTACACCACGTTACAAATGACAGTTCTCGTAATCAGACTTTCTACCACATAGCAACACTCGATAACTGGTAGCAACCTCCACTTAAACCTAGACGCAAAATATACGCATTGTTAATTTACATATCCGCCTATTTTACACTACAGAAGTTATCACAAATAAGAATGTCACTGGAACTATATGTGTGTAAAACGATGTTCTGAGAGATGATTTGAATTAGGTCTTCACCCTAATAATTGTCGTTCACGTTCCTTCACCTTCCTCAGTGGAACATAAGGCTTCAAGCTAGTGGCTTGAAGTTTCTGTAGCGGTGTTTATTTTACAGGATGGGGTTGCTAGCCTCATGCCCAACCTTTCCTCTTTACCAGCATTATTTCTGGCTTAGCGTCGGCCGGGGATCGAACCCCGGACCATGTACATGGTCGTTGAGCGTCCTTACCGCCATGCCACCGACGCACGATAATTGCCGTTAATACTTGCATATTTCTGAGTAGGGAGATAAAAAAGATAAGAAATAAATCAACAAACAAAAGTTTTATCGAAACACACATACGCCTAGTGATACAAATCTACCAAAACTGCAAATTGCTTTAGATATACACTTGAAATGTTATACAAAACACTGAACATAATAATAATAATAAATAAATAAACAACAAATTTTATTTAAATAGGAAAAAGTCTGCTGTAGCGGATGTTTTCCTCAATAAGCTAACTGAAACAATTGAAAATTGAACTTGCGGAATATCTTTCCCCTTCATTAAATATAAGCAAATCTACGGATTTATTAAATAAGTAAACCGAAACCTTTGATGATTATAACGACAGATATTTTAAAAGACTAACCTAGCTTCTTGAATTTCACTGACATCGACATTTACCTATAAAAACAAAGGCAAAAAGATACTGAGGTTAATGATGAAAACATATATTTTTTAGAAAGTCATTATTGCTGGCACTGTTTGTGAATGACTGAATAATTTTTTTAGTTGACTTATATCAGAAAATAATCTTATGTGTGGGGTGAAAGAGAGTACGAGACGGTTACTGAAGGGAAAAATCTGATATTTTAAAATCAGCAATGAGAACAAATCTACACCTTAAAGTTTATCATTATTATTACCTTAGGTTCGAAGTACAACATACAGCTTCAACAAAACACCTTCATTTCATCCTAATGTTTAAGGGTATTTTTAGCTGGAGCTACAATTGCACATAAGCTCTCAGCTTCTTTTCACAAGACCTCCTCCAGACCACCCGCGAAGTGACTCCCAGCTCGTCGTTTCCCATTCGGGTTCCGCTAGATAGCCTGGCGGGTAACGTTACTCAACACTTTCCTCAACATGTCTCCGACCTATTACTATTACCTGAGGCATATTTGTTGCGCAGAAGGGTTTGGTTGGAAATGCTTTTCGTGACGCGCCTAGTCTCGAACCATGTGGAAGCACTGACTTGACATTATTGTTGAAAATCAAAATCTTGTTGTTTATGCTGAGTGCAGTGGAATTCTACATGGATTTCTGAGTAATGAGTGTCTGTCTTACTTTCCCGATCCCGGCTTTGACACATTCATCTGTGCAAACTGAAACGAACCTACGTAGGTAAGTCTGACACAAGAGCCAGTTCACCACAATCAGGAATATCATTGGTGGACTTGTGTCACTACTGTCTACACTTCAAAAGCTTCACCAAGCTTTTCCTTGTGAATTACTTGGCATGTGACATCTTTATGCAGCTGTTTACCTAGGATGATAAAGGTTTGCGCCACTCCATAAAGTTGATGTAGTTTCCTAATCACCTTACGGTCAACACTTCCGAAGGGTTTTTCAAAGTCGTCGAAGTTGAGGTTGACTGAAGGAGATTGGTTCTTACTCAAAAAAGGATAGGATTGATATCCAGAGGTAGGATCGCTAAGACCACACCCAATCTTCCCTTTTTTGGGGGGTTTGGACCGGCTAATAAACTAGGCTTCATGCTGAGGATCAGATGGCTGGTGAGAAAGGACTAGCAACAAATAAATCTGTCAGTTTACGAACAAACCAAAAACCAATTACGCAACAAACATCCCGAATAAAATGGAGATGGATCGGACAAACGTTGAAAGTGTTGAACGACATCAGGTTGCTGAGTGAGGACTGAATGGAAAGCAACGAGTTGGGAGTCACTTCAAGAGTGACTTGGAGGAGATCACATGAGTAGGAAATGAGAGCTTACGGGAAATTGTGGGGCCAGGTAAAGAAGCCTGCAGGAAACACGACGAAATGCAGATAGCTCTGTTGAAGCCCAATGTTTCATTCGAAACCTAATGGAATGAGATCTTAGTTTTTGAGATACCCTGAAACCATTAGAGTTATTAAAACAAGTTCACAACTAAGATGAAGATGAAAAGAGATTATTAGGGAAGATTGCCATGACTCTAAAGCAGGTACATGGGCGGAGGATGTTACATTTTATCGTAGGTCATAGTTATTGAAAATAAGTCATTGAGCGAAAATAGGTAACACATGCAGAAAAAGCATGCTGCTAAATCAACCAAACACAAAATTATCAGTGAACTAGAATCCAGACACGTATATTCCCATATTTTCGAATATCTAATGCCTTCAACATATACATCTAATCCATTTTTGTGAACCAAAATATGAATTTAGAACACGAAAATAAAACGTTTTGCTGAAGATAAGAGTCGAAACCCAAGTTTATCAGGAAACATCTGTTCTCAAAAAGGGTAATTTATGCATTAAGTTGCAGTAAAATAATGTCCTCAACAGGAAATCATCAACTCATTCATTGGATTAAAATCTAGTGAGGGGATTGTTTAGAAAAGCATGTGAGATTCACATTATCTCATAAATGCAGAATAAGGTGATTAACGGAGGCCCAAGAAATGCATGTGATAACCAGGATACTAATCTGTTACCACCTGTGTGAGGAAGAGACGAAGGGTTGTAGGCCGTCGTAGAGTCAAATGAAGTGATGATGGAGAACTGAGACCAATAGGAGTGTGCATCTGAGGCCTTCCATTCCACTAAGAATAAAAGGAATGAATGGTAATGATAATACCAGTTGTGTCAAAAATACTAAATGCTTTTATGCTCCATAGACGATGCGAAACCCATGAAAAACAGATTCGTCAACAATGGAACGGGTGTCGTCGAAGTTGTAAATACACTGATCATGTGTTCACCGTTAGTCAGTTGTTAGAACACCGCCAAACGTGTTGCGGGTCAACAATTTTTGTATTTCCTAATATTAGGACTGCTTTCAACTTGCTGATTAAGATTGTTATTCACAAGTAATTTCCACAGAGAGGCTTTCGAGGAAGTTTGTTAATATCTAAAAGCTCTAAGGTTGCATAATCTTGTCATTTCAGCTTTTCATACATGAAGAGAGCTCTGAAGAATGTGAATTGTGTTGATGCACGTCAGCTACCTCAAAAATACCTTTCTACCCTGAGTAGCCAAACCGTATCGCATTACTATGTACCAGCATAAAGGATATACAAATCACAGGTAATAAGTTGGTGATTAGTGTCAGTAAGCACAGTATGAGTTTTTCACCCTCCACGTGAAACTCTGTTGCAGAATAGGAAGAGATGGTGAGCACACCCACCCGCTTAGATAAAGCGTTCGAAGTAATCAAGAAATCTGTGTATCCAAATAGTTTGTGTGAAAGCTGGTGGGATTCTGAAGGCAGAAATTTTCAATTGTGCAGTGAAAGATAGGGCAACATATCTATACCTAAGCTACTCCTGATGTGGTTTCTGTGTTAGTTCGACCGCCAAAGGCAGAGTTTACAATGCCCCATTGGACTGATTCTTGCTTTATTCCTCTTTGATCTGAGAATGTGACGCGGATCTGCATGTTAGGTGATCTTTATCCCCGTAGGATTGCTAGCATTCTGTAGTCACTATTTAGCCTATTATCCTATCCAAATGTGTGCTTTGGATATTCTGGTGAAGGTAACTTTGGAGACAAGCCACGATGACTTAGACAGTCACCGTTTATTAGCCCTAAGACCGGATAGATATAGTAGAGAAATGGTCACTCCGTGACGAAGCGACGCGAGGTGAAGGATAGCTGTGTCGATTGACATCTGTTGGTGAAAAACAGCCGTATAAGTAAACCGAGACGTTAAGAAATATAACAGAGAGTCGAAACCAAGGTGAATATGCCATGATTTCCCCCCCCTTTTTTTACCATTCTGAATGAAATACACAGTAATGATTTATCTATTGTTTCGAGCCGGACTAGGATCCTTACGATGCTAAAAATAAAGTTTCGAAGACGTGTTTTTGAAATGGTGCAAAATCGTTAGCAATGACGCAATAACCCTGTTATCATGCGGTTTCCCTCACCTTTACATTTATCTTAAATAGTATCCTAGAGTCATGCGGCAGAAATGAAAGCAGGACTACGCTCTTAGTTAGAATTGAGGAGAAAGGACCGAACGCCCCTCTTTTTTCAGACAGTTCCCAAAATATAATTTCGTTTCGCCCAACAATACGTAACCATCTTCACCTTCAATAGAATAGGTAAAGGAAAAGGATTCCAGTGAAACGGAGGCGCAATTTATAAGAGAGAAAAATCAACACCAACCTAAAAAATTTCAGAAAAGAATGACCGCTATGCTATAATCCCCAATAATCACATAGAGAACGAGTGTTATGAATATTTAGAGTTCAACAAAGACCTTGTGTGAATAACAAACAAAAAAAGTAATGGTCAGAAACATTTGAAAGATATTTCTGAGTAAAGCTGTTGTGATTTTGCCCTACAAAATTAATTTACGGCTTCTTAAAGCAGCTTTGCTTTCAAATAACATTTGAACATCTCACTTATTTCAATTTGAATGTCGTCAGCAACCGACATCAGTCAGATTATCATTGAAAACAAAGGAACACTGAACAAATGTTTCGTCTCAGTTCAGAACTTGTTGGCATTTCGCACCCATGAGTATATTAGGAATAGAAAGCAAAACCTTCATGTTAGGAAGCCAGCCAGCTCACCATTCAATGACCTATGAACTGCAACTTTCATCATGAAAAATATCGTTCAGAAATATTAGTCAAAATATAGCATTGTTTTTTTAGACGTTACAAACTCTAATTATACATATTTGTAAATTACAGAATGAATTAAGCTGTTAACAAAACATCTGCGTATATGCTGGCTTTGACGTAATATATACTTATACAAATCCTTTATTTACAGTAATGTTATATTTTTGTTCTACAGAGAAGGTATTATTATTTTATCAACCCGGTGTAAAATGTTGCTGAAAAGCTGTAATAATTAACAAGAGATGCTGAATAGTCAAGAGTTTACAAAGTTTCGGTACACTGAACACATACGGTATCAGTTTCAGCGATAAGCTAACCACGGCGTTAAAATACCTCAAGCATTGAGTTTATTACTAGAATGACTGAAACATAAGACTTATAATTAAAAAGAAGAACACAAAGAAATAATTAGTGAAAGCACTCGAGAAGAAGAAAAAAAGGATGATTACAGAAAGCACTATCCATGAATGCTTGCGGGAGGCATGGAATGCATATCAATAGTGTTACACAATTTAGGCATTTATGATCCCTCTTTCTTTACAAATAAAGAAAATTTATAATTTTACTTCACAGCTAATCAGTAAAAATACAGTAAATAAAGAAATAAAAATAAGAGCTAAACGACAGCAACAGTAAAAAAGGAAATGCAATTAGTTAACAAAGCAGATAATTGAATAAACTACATTTCACTCAAGCCTTGATTAATAATAATAACAACAACAACAATAATAACTGTTGACTCACCTCTATCCGACTTTATATTTAACTCATAATTTGAATAATTATGAACATTAATGATTACGAAAAAAGAACATGAAA